GGAAGTGTCCAAGGCCAGGCTGGATGAGGCTTGGAGCAACCTGGTCTGGTGGAAGGTGTCCCGGCCCAGGGCAGGGCAGGTTGAACTAGATGATCTTTAAGGTCCCTTCCAACCCAACCCATTCTATAATTCTATGATTTTATGATCCTTTGTTGGGGGTGATGTTCCTCCTTCCTTACAGATAAGCACAGTCCCCTGCTTAAATCCACCTTCTCATCGCTCGTATCCAAGGCTGTAAGCAGAGTCCTTTGCAACGGCACGCTCACTGACATTTGTTACTGACAGAGAACATCTTCAAGATCAGTATCTCTCTTTTTTTTTTAGGACAGTACATATGTCAAACCTTCTTTAAGAAATGCACATTCACTGCTAAATCACCCTGTGATAGTAGAGAAATCTACGTCTGTGGTTTAGATTGACAGGTCACACTGTAAAAGCTTTGCAGCCATTCTCACAAAGATGTTTATGCCCTTTTGCCTACATTGATATGCAGGGGAAATTGGACTCACAAGTAAGAATGAAAAGTTAAACACAGATGCAGATTTTAATTGTAGTGCCTAACCTGGAATTCTCAAATCCTGAGAAAAGCTGCCTGGAAATTTAATTTAGTATTAGAGAAGAAAGTGGTTGATCTTTAATTTTTCAACCAGTTTAAAACCAAAAACCCAGGTGGATCAAAATAGAAGATGACGACATCACTTAATACTTGAGTTTGCTCCTTGAGACATGACATGAGGGATTATATTATCATTGCACAGAAATAATGATTTTCTTACATTTATCTGGGCAAGGCCAAGTCTTAGCTTACTGATTAGAGAAGAAAGTGGTTGATCTTTAATTTTTCAACCAGTTTAAAACCAAAAACCCAGGTGGATCAAAATAGAAGATGACGACATCACTTAATACTTGAGTTTGCTCCTTGAGACATGACATGAGGGATTATATTATCATTGCACAGAAATAATGATTTTCTTACATTTATCTGGGCAAGGCCAAGTCTTAGCTTACTGAAGCTTCAGTAAGATGACGACATCACTTAATACTTGGGTTTGCTCCTTGAGACATGACACGTGGGATTGTATTATCATTGCACAGAAATAATTTTCTTACATCTATCTGGACAAGGCCAAGTCTTAGCTTACTGCAGCTTCAGTGTTTCACTGGCAAATATTTTCTCAGCCCTTCAATGTGCATGGACACTCATCATGTCACTGAGGGACATTATAAAGCATCATAAACTGACTTAAACCGTATATAAAAGAGATAATTTTTTTCCATACACATTTTCAATTTTGTCATGTTTTCTCTGACTCTCAGGAAGGAAGAGGAATAAACAAGCAGATTAAAGGTGATTTTCAAACACTGTGCAAAGCTCTGTGTATTGCTGGTGGCACTCAATTGTTGTGCACTCATCTCACAGACTGCAAACTACTGCCCCCTGTCCAATGCAGTTCTTTCTTTTCCTCACAGTGAATCTCTTCCTTACAGGAGAAAAAATAAGTCCACTTCTTATTATCTAGAGCCCAAAAAAATTTCATTTAGTTCTGTATGGGCAGGCAAATTCTCAGACACAAAAGACATACTCATCTTCTTACGGATGGAAAGTAGAAGGTGCTGCACTCACCTGATAGTCTGGTGTTGCAAAGTATCAGGATCAGTGGCATTTACGGTTAACACAACGCTGCCGATGGGGATGTTTTCTTGTTTGGTCACTGTCATGGGGTTTGGGTGGAAAACTGGGCCTTCGTTCACATCCTCCACAGTGATCTGAACTGTTGCCGTCGAACTGGGGCCATAGGCTATGTCTGGAATCAGCGGGTCTTCATTTTCTACTTTGATCAGCAGCGTGTGAAATGCTGAAATCTCGTAGTCTAAAGGCTGTAAAACATGTAATAAAGTCAGAGTGCAAGGTGCAGAGACAGTACTTAACACTTTCTCCTTTTACCCTGTTGCCAACTAACACAGGATAGAATTAGCTGAAGAGACAAGATCATTCATTGCATCTGATCCTTGGTCACAGTTCAGCATGACACGATGGTAGTTATCAAGTGCATTCAAGACAATGAATGCAATGGACTTAATGAAAGATGGAGCAGACCCTCTGTCCAAGAGCATGTGCTTTTTTGCCATACCTCATACGTACAATTCAATTCTCCTAGATACGTGCTTATTTATGATGGAATATGCATTTAGCAAACAAACAGGTCATACTTATCAGTTACTTATGGTAAGTAACATAAGGCTATTTTCTCAACTCCTACCTTGAAATCAAAAGCACCACCATAGAAATACATGTCATTTGTCTTAACAATTGAAAATGCCTCTTTTGAAGTCAGAGACAATTCTGGTACAGTTTGGGTTTTTTTAAAGTGTGAGATGTAGGATTATCTTCCTACAAAATCGGGCAATGCCTTTTTTTCATGAGACTTTAGCAATGTGGGACCAAGGATGGCTCTCCAGTTCAGTCTGTAGTCACATCCCTTATTTCCCTGGTATTTGCCTCTGTGTTCTCTAACTGAGCACAAAACATAGCCCTTGAATTCTAATTGTATCCTCAGTCACAAACAAAACCTTGTTGTAAAACGTCACTGTTAATTGTCATGTTTACTGAAGAACTAGGTGATATTTAAGCACAATGACAACAGTCAGGTCCTTATGACTAAAGAAGTAAGGTAACTGCAGAAGAAGGGGACATACAGACTGTTTGGGCAAGGGCTGGTAGCCAACTATGTATTTTCAGGAAGTTATTCTTGCTGTGCCTTCTCTTATGCAGTAAATCCAGTGGGTAGACCTTACAGTAATAACAGAGTAGAACAGCAAATTGTTCTTACTTTGACAACGGAGAGCATTCCCTCATTAGTCTGGGGATTGGTATGAATTTCAAAACTCTGCCCTGGATTTCCATTAATAATGGTGTAGACAGCTCTCCACGCTCCGGTTGCTGGATCATCTCGGTCACCAACAGTTAAGTTTACTATCACACCTGTGACACCCTCCTTCACTGTGGCTTGAAACTAGAAAAAAAAGCACAGAGGAAATTGTTACTATTTCCAATTAACAACCACACACACATGAAATATCCAAGCCAGCATTAATTATTTACCACGACAGGAGAAAGATGTAATCCTTGACTGAAACTGAATGTTATAGGCTCTAAATAATACATTCTCACTCATGAAATATAAGGTAGGACATTACAGCTGCTCTCCAGTTAATAGATGGCAGATAAGCAGCAGTGTGATAGGAATCAAGCTTTGGAAGAGTCTGATCACAAGAAGACAGTTCATCTCCTATTACTGGAGAAGCGAATCCTGAACATGTGCACAGTGTTGTAGAAGTGCATATGCTCTCAGAAAGGGAACTATACCCGTAGCTGAGCAGAAGAGGAAGCTGACTAGTATAGCCCATTCTTGCCCTCGGATGTACTAGTATTTACAGATAATCCAGTTTTGCATTTCAGACTATGGTTTTCATAAATTACCCCACCCATATTAATTTTTCACAACACTGTCATCACTACATAAAACATTGTTCGCAAAAAGTGTTCCCATACCAGCTTTTGGAAGGATTGCTGTCAGAGACAAAAATAATTGGACCTCATGCTACCACTTGGTCTGCATAACTAAAAGTCAGGGTTACTTCGTTTTTTCAGTGGAAGAATTTTTATGACCTTGTGAAGTTTGTTGCACTGCTCTACTATTCAGCTAGCCAAGCCCTGTGAGAAAAATCTAATTTAGTACCCAGACAAACAGTGTATAACATCATTTCTATTTATGCAGGAAAAACATTAAGCAAACCATGGGAAAAGCTTGTAAGGGTCAGACTTAATAATACTCCTCACCTTTCAAGTACTTGAGGCTGACATGCTAAAAGCACTGTACATAAGAGTGATAAGATAATACCTGCTTTATAGGTGGATAGACCAGAATGATAACATACCTAATCCTGAGAAGTGCTGACCATCAGCAGTACCATTACAGATCATTAGGAAATCTTAGCATTTCTAGGGATTAAGGCTTCAAAAGTCCAAAGTTACAAACTTTAATGACACAAACAGGCTGTGCTGTACATGCACCACTTAAAACCTACATCCTTGCTGGCAATATATCACTCAAGGGCAAAAACCACCCAAGTGGCTTCACAACCCGAATAAGCTACATGTCTTTTGCTCTGTCATATAGACCACATGAAGTCATAACACTACAGAAGATTTTGTAAGAATGCTGAACCCTAGAAAAGGTATTTTATTTATACAGAGATTACATAATCTGGAGAAACAGTAGGTAATTTTCCTCACAGTAAAATACAGAAGAGAGAACTGTTTTTTCCAGTGTTCAGTTATCATTTTTTCATTTCTTCCAATAGGTTTAACTAATGTTTCCAAACTCTTTTTCAATTTAGCTTTACTATTCGAGTGTATGAGTTTACCAGCCTCAAAACTGATTTTATAAAAGGATGACATTAATAACCGGCTATTTCTATCTTCTTTAGTATATTTAACAAAGAATGTGAAGATTCTTTTGATTCTGATAGTTAATATATACCAGGTTGTGATTGAGCTTTGTTTCAGACAGATCATTAAGCTCATTTGCAGTTTAATTAACTCTGAAAGATAATATAACAATATTTTTGCTTGCTTTGAAACAAATCAAAAGAAAAACCCTATGAAGAATCTTGGAAATAACAGAGGAATTATTACCAAGATTGTATTCCTTCATGCTCAGCTAAATGTTGTCACTGGAAAGCACACTTGGACACCTCTCCTCTTACACTAATTGAAAATAAGCAATTAGCCTGATTGATATTTTTGTATTATTTCACATATCATTTCATGTCTCAGCTTGAGCATCCTCTCCTCTTACACTAATTGAAAATAAGCAATTAGCCTGATTGATATTTTTGTATTATTTCACATATTTCATGTCTCAACTTGAGCATGTATAAAATGAGACATCAGAACCATAAGGACCACAATTTTTCCCAACAAGTGTTCAGTACCAAACAATTTCTATTTGGCTATGTAAAAAGGTGACTAGACATCAAGGAACCTAATCCTAAAGAATCTAACCCTTAGATTTGACTGGACTTCTGCTCCTAATTCATATTGAACCTTCAGAAAAATCTTTTCCTTAATCCACTAGTCTGAATTAATTCAGTGTTCAATAGTTCCTGGACCACCTTGGGAACTATACAATCTGTTATGGTAAAATATTTGAAGACCTGGCTATTTAATTCAGACACATAACTGTGAAGTCTGAGGGAGAAATTTATTATGCTTACCCCACCAGTGCCAGACTATGATGGAAAAGGTTGTCATGATGTGCCAGTTAGTTCAAAAAATACAGAATGCAACTTTATGGATATCTAATTCAAGGATATCTCAGCTGGTGTTGGCTTTCTTCTGCATTCCTATTTTTTCCTCATTTAGGAAGGGCTCTCAGCAGTTTCAATGGCAGTGAGTTATTAGTGCAGAAAGGGCACATAGACTTACTGGGGACATAAAACTCAAAGCATCTGACACCTGCAGATCAAGAAATGACGTCTACAGGCAAAGGCTGTGCCAAGCCAAATAATTCCAAGCACAGCTGTTCACTCACCCCCAGCATACTTTACGTTTTAGAAATGACCACATAAACACAGAGGGTATTTGAATCTATGTGGAACATTACACTAAAATCTGTTCTAGATGGATGAAAAAGCAGACTAATCAAATCAAAGAAGTTGCCACGTGGGTCAACACTAAATTTATAATGTGAAATGTGTAATAAATCACACATTTGTAATTGCAAGAGAAAAGTATCTACTGTGAAATAGAGAGGCCCAGAAAAATACAGTGTATACTACCTAGAATGGAAACACTTCTGCCTGTTCAGCCACCTTTATATAAAGAATAGAGTTCCAAGTATTTAGAACAATGTTATATTTATATTGTGTCCCTTTCAAAAACAAAACTAAAGGAAGAAATTTAGAAATTATGAAAGGACAAAAATAGGAGTGAGAATTGCAAATAGAGAAAATACCACCACAGGTTCATCATATTTCAAAATGAAAGATTTACATTCTCAAAGCACAGTGCTTAACTGGGGGACTCTGATCCGGTGCTCTAAAATAAAACCCCCTAGTGGCTAACACAAATAATTGGATCACAAGTTAATTGATTTTACTCTTTTAAAATATCTGCACATCCCCTAAGCACCACTATAAATTAAGAATAAAATAGATGAGTTCAGTACTTTATTTAAACTGCTATCATCTGGACCCATATTAAAAATAATAACTTAGAAGGCAAATACCCTGGGACAGAACTGCATTTGGCTGGAAGGAGCTACGTTCATTTTCTACAGCTGAGCATTAGAATAAGGTTAAGTTGCTCTGTGAAGTGATATGCCATATTGCCATTTATTGTGTTTGTCATGCATATAGCTGAGAAATATTAGTCATTCTGTTATATTTAAACTTCTATAAACATAGGGGGGAAAAAACCCACCTCAATTTACCTTTTTCTGCACCCGAAAGCTTATGAAAAAATACAGAAAGACAGAAACCAGACTGATAGGAACTTAGAAGGAAACAATGAGTCAACAGTAGCCAGCATTCTACCCTTAATCATCTTTTTTTTTTGGTAGACAAATAAGACTTTTAATGAGGAAATTAAATACATCAAGGAAATAGTGATAGATGTAGAAGAGTTCTTTCAAGAGTGTGAGGGTAGCTTGTGAGGAAGCACAAATAGACTTGAGAATGTAACGAGTGAGCAACGTTTGCTGTCATGATGGAGCGATGGAAAGCTGATATTGACTACTGACAACCTTTTGAGAGATCACAAAGATGGTTCCACTAGGCATGGAGGTCCCTGAGGGTGAAAAGAGATGGCAAGGAGACAAGTAACATGCAAAACAACAGTGTTCAGATACAGCCCATGTAACAGCACTCAGGATAACTGAGCAGGAGAGAGAGATCTCACTTCAGCAAATGCTACTCCTCCTTCTCTGGCTCTTGGAAACCTTCTCCAAACTATGTGCAAAGCCTGAGAAGTTAAAATAAAAAATTACAGTTCCAAGCTGGCAGGAATTTTATCTTACTGCATATAGGAAATCCAAGGCAGCAGATATCTACTGAGAATAATTAAGCCTGCGTCAAAGACTAGCTAAAGGGGAAGGTAATGAGGGGAAAAAAAAAAAAAAAACACAAAACCACACACACGAAAAAAACCCACCAAAAAACCACCCAAAAACCCCCAAAACAACCCACCAAACAAATTGAAGCACAGCTTAATTTTAGTAGCTGATTCCTGGTGAAGCCAGGATAGAATATATCAGAGTCAAATCCTCGTCTGCACTGAGCTCTATGGTGAACCGGGACACTAAGGTGCCAGCCATCACTGAACAGCAAAATGGCTCAGTAGGGTTCTGAGGAAAACCCAACCTTGTCAGATTCCCACCATGAGGCAGATAACATTTTACAGAGTGATCTTTTCATGTATCACCAGAGAATGCAGCCATTAACAAATCTCAGCCTCAAACAAAACTGGAAACGGTAACTAACCTCTATGGAAATTGGATTCTTACTGGACAGCCTTATTATTTAATAGTAAGCGAGGGTTTCTTTACTGGCTTCTCCAAGCAGAGGAACAAATTAACTGCATCAGAATGTCTACTGTTCAGCAACAGCGTGAGCATGCAGCAATAACCTTTATACCTTTATGAAACCACCGAAAAAATGTCTCAGAGTGGGGTGCTGAAATACCCAAATTAAAGAGCTGCCACAAGCAGCAAACACAATGCAAGATAAACGTGTCTGGGGTTGGTGATCGCTACCCTATGGCTCATTAAGATTCTGCATGCTGTGACTTCCAGTCAAGAACAAACAAATTAAAACTGCATGTCAGTTTGCATTCATCAGGGTGACATTCCAGTTGAAGGTATTCTGTGCTACTATGATGTGTTTTTTTCTCCATCTATATATCATAAAATGTGAGAAGTAATGGGATATATTAATTCATGTGTCTCTATTA